ATCAGGCATTCATACGAGGTGGTGATATATGCAACATACTGTATATGTAGCACTGTAAGTATTGTATTGCAGGAAGCTTACCAGTACAAATACAATTTAAAAAAGGCTTTATGGGTCAGCTGTTAAAGCCAATGTGTTAATACCAGTAGACAAAGACAGACTTAATGTTGGATGCTTTACATTTTTTGAATAAAACTCTAGCGGTCTAAAGTGGATGTAACCAGATGATCTTGCTTCGTTTAAGTGTATTAATATTTTTTGTTTTAAAAGCAGAATGAGTATTATATATATATGAGTCAATAATCTGTGTTCATAATCAGTGGAAACGACTGACTCAGTCATTAAAAGGTTGTCAGAATTGTCAATACTGGTTCATTTTCCAATTTTCATTATTTTAATGAACTATAGTATCAAAAAGAACTGAGGCTTTAAAAGAAATAAAGATCTTTAGTTATAGTTTTAACCCAAAGCTGTTGCAAGTGAAATAAACAGCAGTGATGATCCACTCAAATCCACAGGTCATCAAATACTGATGTTGCTCAAGTCCTTTTTGCTTTTCATGAAGTCAGAAAACATACATTTACACTCATACAGACAGACAGAGAGCAGAGGAGGTGACAGCAGAGGAGAACTATTATATGCACAAATACATTGGCATTATTTTGGCACTGAAGTACTCTTGATCAAAACCAAGATATTTTCCAATATTGCATGTCTAGAACTTCTGTTTATGTTATTCTCATTGTATTTAGAGTGGGCGGCTGTGGCTTAGTAGGTAGAGTGGGTGGTGTCTCAACCGGTAGGTCGAGGGTTTGATCCTCAGCTCCTGCAGCAACATGTCCGATGGGTTCTTGGGCAAGACACTTAACCCCAAGTTGCTCCCGCTGCTTTGTCTGCAGCGTGTGAATGTGTATGAACATGTTTAGTTCCTTCTGATGGTCACTTTATATAGAAAAGTGCTTTGAATAATCAGAAGACTAGAAAAAAACTATAAAAGCGCAAGTCCCTTTACCATTTAAACATCAATATTGTTTGATTTTTATTAGTATTGTATCAAAGTTTAAAATTATAGATCAACTCTTACAGGTTTTGACAGTCCATGCTTATATTCTGCTATGTGGTGACTGAGGCTGCCTTCACAATCACAGCTAACGCGATTTTTACTTCATGTTTTCTCTCTGCTTCATTTAATATTCATAACTGTGCTTGTTTATTCCAGGCTGCAATAGGTACGGTATAATAGAAACAGCTTCTAAATAGAACGAAATAAAAACATTCCCCGAGTTTTTGTAAGAAAACAAGCATTTTCCAACAACAACAGAGACATTATTTCAATTTCAAATGGGAACACGTTTCTGGCAATGCACAAGCTTTTATTCCGAAGAACATTTTGGTTAAAGCTGTTTCACTTTCAAAGACTGTAGTCGTGGCTTTGAATAAAAACAGGGTTTGTTGTGTTGTTTTCTTACACAGCTAATTGTAACCTGATGCTTGTGTCTGTGTTTCTTCTGTTTTGGGCGGATACTGCTGATGTGGTAGAGCGAGACGCTGTCGAGGAAGGTGTCTGCTACTATATTATTCTCTAATCTTGTTTGCTGTAATTTCCCTGAACTAGAACCTTCTCTAAAGTAAGAAAGTATACTTTCTATATGAGTCACAGCTATGATAACTTCCATTTCCAAACATTAAGGTTTTCAGACAGAAGATGAGCACACACAATTACCAGGCAATCAAATGAATAACAAACAAAACGCCACACATGGCAAGAGAGTATACAGTATGCTAAAATGAAGGGAATATCTTAAAGATAAGAAAAATACAGAAAAAGAGTGACAGCTACTTTACGCATAGTTGAATAAATGTTTGCTCAAGTCTTTTTTAAATGATTACAGAGTTTGTTTCTCTTGAATATTTTAGCAGAAAGCTTCATAGTTTGGTCCAAACTAAAGTCAAAAAAAAGTTTTTTTAGTCGGTTGACATTCTGTATTTAACCCTGGCTGCAGAGGATTTCATTATCTGTTGAGGATTACATTACCATAAGGAATTAGTAACGTTGGGCTGTCAAAAACCATTATAAGACTTGTAAACAAGTAAAAGAACTTAAGAACCGATCATAAAAACAAAAAAGGAGCGAGTTTTGGTCGGCTGAAACAGGGGTGATATGGCCTCTCTTTTTCTTGTTCTAGTAAAAACCCTGGCAGAATAGCTTGATTGCTTTGGAAGACCAGTTAAACAAACAAAAGAGGCTTTGAAAAGCCCCTTTGTAATGATTTGTGAATGAGAGAAAGCTAAGGGTATTTTTTTTAAATGGGAAGACTAGTTGTCGTTTTGTTTCTGGACCAATTACCAAAAGTCAACACTTCCATCAAGCAGATCAAAAGTATCAAAAAGGAGGGATACTTATAAACAAGATTGTTGTTTATTTTACTTTCTTGTATTAATAACTGTGCAATTGTTAGGTGGGGTGTTGCCTCGACATCAGATCTACTCATCACTTCATTCCTTCCTTGCCTATAGTGGAACCTGGGGACGTTGGCACAGTTGCTGCACTCAGACAGAGCAGCATCAGCTCTGCTCAGACGACACAAAACACTTTCAAAACATCAGACATCTTTGTTTTCTTTGGTTTTCACTGCAGTTTGCCAAGTCCTCAGAACAGACGTCTTTTTCAGCCAGCAGGGTGTAAATACAGCCATGGTGTAGTTAAGCATTGCAAAAAAATACATTCCATCATATGAAGAAAAAATATTTTTATAGTAAGTTAACAATCGTTACATATCCCACAACAGAGAAATGTGCTGTGTAAATGTGTTAGAGCAGCAAAGCGAAATGAAAGTTAAAAAAAGAGCAGGCAGTTCACAGTTACATAATTGAGGAGCCCAATCAGAGATGCAGTTGTTAGAAATGTAGTCTAAACATTCACAGTCATACAGTATATAAAGAAAAGACTGTCATGCACACAATGGCGGTTGTGGCTCAGTGTGTAGAGTCGGGCGCCTCTGAACTGGAATTACGGGTTCAATCCCCAGCTCCTGCAGCTACATGTGCCCCTAACCGCCAAGTTGCTCGTACTGCTTCATCAGCGGCGTATGAATGGGATTAGGATGGGATGGGATGCGTGTGAATACTTAGGTGTGACATGCGGTGTAAAAGCGATTTGAGAAGTCCAAAAACTAGAAAAGAGCAGTACAAGCTCAAGACTATTTACCATTTACAGTACATAAGAGTTGAACATTTTATTGCACCATGGTCTGTATAGTATTACAAATAAGTATCAGAGGATATTACGGTATAATATGATAAATATTGAATAAGTGGTTCGCAGTAGTATTAATGGTTTACGTGTTTGTTTGTTTTCATTTAAGGACTATAAGCAGACGAACATTTTCTGTTTCAAATTGCTTTTGCAAGCTCTCCATAAACCATGTAGAGTCTTCATCCACCTACTTCTCACTTGTAAATATAATCTTTTTTTTTTCTGTTGGCACTGTTGTGATGATTATCTTTCACAGAAACAACAGACAAAAAGCCAGGGAAATGATGTTGCTTTCAGTGTGTCCTTTGGCACAAGAGGTCATGATGAGAAATTGCAAATCAAAGTGCGTTTTATTAAATCCTTTCTGACAAAATTGTGCTGCTCTTTGAAAACTGTTGCTTGTATGGTTTAAAGAAAAAAAAGGTGTACAGGGGGTTTAATATTTTTTTTTAAGTAAAGTTGTTGACTAAACTTAGTCCTTGCATCAGCTTGGGGAATCGTTGACTTTGCAAAAAGCTCATGTAACTGCTGAATTACAAATGCCAGAAGGGACTTGAATTCCCTTCAAGCTACCTCGAGACAAATAGACGGGAACTGACAAAGACCTTCACAAAAAACCATCAGACCTCCCACATACATGCAAACAACAAACGAATCACAAACAACTCTGAAAGCAGCCCAGTGGGATGACCAAGGTGAGGTTTGATCATAAAAAAGAATCTTAAAATGCACCTGGCATTTTACTCTGAAACAAGGAAGTACTCCATCACCTCTGCTGAGGGTCATATGTAGTTCTTCTACACTTACTTCACTTATAGAGGATTTACAATAACAGAGTCAATTCAACTGCTGTCGTTTGGCAAATGTATGTTTCTAATCAAGAATTAGGTCCTTAATAATAATATGGTTTTGATGAGTATTCTCGTCTTCATGTGCTAAATCTTACAGACATTCATTTCAAGCATGCAAATCAGGGGCAGATGGAATTAGCCAAGAAGTATGTGGGGGATGAGAGATGTGTCGCTAGGGGTCGACGCCTTTTGTGGAACATAAGTCCCATTTATCCCAAATTAGGACGGGTGCGGCACTGGTTCGCTTTGATGTTCCTCTTGGCGGGGGCCTGGGTTGAGTGCGGAGGAGTGTGTGTGTGTGTGTGGGGGGGGGGGGGGGGACAGGGCAGATTGCTGGAGCACAAACAGATGTTCAAGACTCATCCTTTGAGGTGGTGATGAAACGTTGCCTCAGCGAGAGTCTTTACATCCCACTGTCAGTCAGTTGACATAGAGACAAGGGCAGGGCTGCAGTTGCCACTCTAATGGCTGCTGTACCCGCAGCAGCAGATGAAGCAGTTTGACCTAAATCTGTGTAAAGTTGAAGGCTTCGATGTGTTGTTGAAAAGAACAACTCTGTAAGGATTTGATGGATACAAATGATTTATTAGACACCACGCTTTTATGAAAGACACTTCATCCAGCAACAGATATTTCTGTCAATTTCAGAAAGCTGAAAGAAAAGCTGGGTCGTAATTGAATTTAGTTCAACTTTTACTTTTTGTTTTTGAAAAACCATGTAGCTATGGAAACCATTTTTCATGCCTAAATCTTCTCAGCCCTTTACATTTCAACATGACTGTAACATTTCACAGGTTCTGATACCAACATCTTTTGAATGTTGAAATGCCTGCTGAATGTTTTTCTTTCCTGCACCTCATCTAACGCTTTTTATTTTGTCTTGTTTACCACAGGAATATGACGACGGCTACGGAACAGCTTACGATGACCAAGGATATGAATCTTATGACAACAACTACAGCAATCAAGGACAAAAGTATGTGTTGTTTATTCTCCAGATAACCCTTTACAAGTTCTTCTTCTTCTTTGATAATGTTCACATTTGACAACTTTGCAACACTTTTTTTTGAGTGTAGTTCTACAACAACGCCATTATGAAATTTAGCCTTGAATGTGCAGTCTAAACAAGGCATTACTGTACATTACCCCCCCCCCCTTACATGCACCATTCATAATATTCACAATAATTCAGAATAATATAGTTCAATCAAAAACTCAAAAAAGAACCTGCTTCAGGACAGAAGTTATTTCAATGCTGTTGACATTAGCTTTAGCTCTCTGTATCTAACAAACTGGCAGCTGAGTGTACGCATACGTAAAACTGATATATTCACTCTTTGAGTTATCATGTGTTCTAGGAGAGTTCTTTGCCAGTAACCCAAATACACTAAACTTCAAATGTGAGAGGTTGTGTCTTTAAATTGAATTCTCACATTTATGAACAGCATTTGAAGGCAGCCAGTTTGCTACTGTCTTGTCATTTAGGCTCCATTAAACGGAAGAGAATATGAGGTCAAATTGAGATTTTGGATTCAGAGCAGCTGGATTATGGTGCGTGAGCTGTTAAGAGTCATCTGCGCTCATTTTCTGCCCCGTTTGAAACTCCTAAGAACACTTCCTCTTAATGAAAGTATTTTCCGAACTGTGAAATGTTTTGACTGACCTTTAGGTTGCCCTCCAGGATTGACTTAAAAAGGTGCAACGCATCATCCAAGGTTACCTCCTGGAAACTATTAGTCAGGATTACAAGATTTATAAGACCGTAAACATTGCAGGATCTCTTATTCAAGTCTTCTATTTTTGTTTTTTTATATCTTAAAACAGACCACTCGCAGTGATCACATTTCTTCCAAGGGATCAGTTGCAACTCATTACACTGAATGAACTATCTTTTAATCAGCACTTCAAATCTCTCCAAAAAGTGCATTTAGCTTGTTATGTTGCTCATGTCAGTGCATAAAAAAAAAAACAATCCAAGGGGTATGTTGCTCTATTTAACAGAAGGTCCTGCACAGCTAAATGCAGAATATTGATTTCCTCATGTCCAGGGAGCTATCACACTCTTCAAGCAACACAAGGTCAAAGGCTTCCGCTTTGGTTTGCTGGTATCCCACTGTATTCCATCAGCACACAATGTGCAACGTTTATGTATACCTGCCTGTCCTACTTCAAAGAAAGAGTGATTGTTCCCACATTTAGTGCGTCAAAAAATGGTATTGTATTGGCAGCAGCTGGAAAACTGAAGAAAAAAAAAACATAATTCTGTCCCTTGGCTTTTGTTAGCAGGGTGTTCGATGTTTTCTTTTGTTGAGGTGTCAGGATATATGTCACCCAAGCTTCATCCATCTTTTGTACTATCTCTTTTTTCGGTGGGCTGGATCACAACCACCCAGACCCCAGCCCCACACACACACACACACACACACACACACACACACACACACACTCTCTTCACCCTCTGTAGCACACCGAGCAGTAGCTGTTGGAGTGTTGGGTGGTTAGGTGTAGAGATGCATGCTGGGAGGGGGGAAAGCAGGTCCGCCTCAGGAATCTGCAGCTATTTGTTTTAAAAGCAGCCTCGTGAATAATGGTGGTGGTGGGGTGGGGGGGGGGGGGCTGTTGTGAAGGTGGACGCAGGGAAGGGAAGGGAAGGGGAGGGAAGACAAATGGAGTCCATCATGTAAAGGCTGGAGGCTGGGTTGACTCAAAGAGATTTTCATGTCTGTTATCAGGCGGGAGACAAAGCAACTAATAGGACCCAGACATCGAAGCCTTTGCCTCCAGAGACAGCTGATTCACTTACTTCTTCTCTTATTTGTGTGTCCTGTGTCCTGAATTTGGATGAAAAGTTACTGTTACTGCAGGCTGACATTGTGCACGTGTAGAGAAACCAGTATGCCTGTGATATTTTTTAATGTTGGACTGAATGAATTTTGACATTTTTTGCATAAATGTGAGATCTGTTTTCTTGCATGTTCTTTTTCTGTGTCCTTTGTTAGAATACCGAGAGGGAACAATGTACATACAGAATAAAAGGCCTTTTAATGATAACAAAAGGCAAAGGTCTGAGGTTTATATTACACCACAGCTCCCCAGTGATCCAATTATTACCTTTTCTTATTGCACCTATGAACTGCACTAAGTCCTGCAACCTAATACAGTCCTTCCAAAGCTCCTCTTTTGCAGTCACATTCCTATTTAGCTCTGTGATGGACAAAGGTGCATTGTTTTCAACACAAGATCGAGGAAAGTCATAGCAGGTCCCAGCTGTAGCAGGCCCTCAGGGAGAAAGAGAGAGTCTGGACGTGTGTGCGTGCGTGCGTGCGTGCGTGCGTGCGTGCGTGCGTGCGTGCGTGCGTGCGTGCGTGCGTGCGTGCAAGAAGTCTACTAACAATGTTTCTAGAGGCCTAAGGAGCTCCCAGTCACCAATCTGAGCTCTGACTGCATGGCAGGATTTCAGTTGCCGGAGGATAACAAGCAGAACAATTTACAGTCTCTCTGTCAGGGTATTACCCCGATGGCTTATGCTAGAAACAGACCTGCCATTTGAGAACACAAAAGGAAAGGAAGAGGATTGTTATAAAAAAGGCCTCTGCTCTTAAAAAGACTGTAATGCTGCATCAGTGGATTTGCTGATACCTAATTTAAATTTGAAATATGTTTTCCATGAAACTGAAATACATTAAGGTATAGATGGTTATCAGAGCGGGGGGTTGTCAGGTAATAATAAATGTATCCTCGTACACGCCTTGATGATGCGATAATGAGATTGTTCATATTAAATAAAATAGATAAAGCAGTACATCTTGCTAATGACCTGATTTTGTTCTTTATGTTATTTCACAGTTCTTTACAGATGGAGTTGGAGTGGACATCTTAGTTTGGTAGCTTGATGCTTACAAATAATGGAAATTGCCTTTAACCTGCTAACAGAATTGCCATCTCATTGTCTCATCTGTATTTAACTTAACAAAGTGCAGACGCTAAGTTAGTTTCTTATCATTTCTTCAGTCCGTAAGCTACAGTTGTGTCATTGGTCAAAGGTCCCAAAGTGACCTGTGGGCTGAATGAACTTAGTCCAACTGATCAGCAAAGTGGTGTGGTGTAAAATGAAGTAGAACACACGGGTGAGGCAGATTTGAGCTTTTTCTGCATTTGGAGGGAAACGACACATTAATCAATAATGGACTTCTTTTTTTTTTTTTTTTCTAAAGCTTTGAGTTTCTGCTGTCAAAATTCAAGTTGAAAATATTCAAAAGGAACAAAACAAGTGTTAGGACAAGTAGACTTGTAAAAGTTTGATTTTAATATCAGAACTGAACCTATTTGTGCTAGAATAACTCGGCGCCCATCAGAAAACAATAACAATTGGTTAATGGCTTTATTAATACAGCATATTAAATGTTCCCTCTCAAATTAATCAATCATAATTATTTTAAGCTGAAGCACTATTGTTTAGAATGAAGCCAATTCTCGAAAAGCATTTTCCTATTAAAAAAAAAAAAAAATCAGATTCAGATTACTTTATTAATCCCAGAAAGACGATTCAGTTTCACAGCCTACAGAGTCATTGAAAGAATCCAGGACGATATAAAGGAAACAAACACAGTCACAGCAGCATTCAGACATTACATTCATGTACCAGTTACAGCAATTCAAAAGACGGGTTGCCAAATGAGAAGCCAGAGCTAGCAAATCCAGAAATAAATAAACAGAAAGCTGGAAATGTACCTGATAAATAGATACATAAATGAATGGACCTTACTGTGTGTAAGTGTCTAGTGGCAGTATGGTATTACACATTGTTCAAATCTAGTAAGCTAATTCAAAATAATATGTGATATATCTTATAATGTATGCTCTGTTTTTAAACACACAGTATGTAAATTCCGCTGCCAGGAGGCTTTTAATCAAAACAATAACAAAAGATGACGTCCTGGCTTATGTAGCGGCCGTTGAAGTAACATCCTGTGTGGTGTCTGTCACACGGATACAACAAAGAAAAATACAGCTTTGTCTGGCTTTGATTACTGTAGGAAATATTTGAAGTAATGTAAACACTCAACAACGAACCACATTAAGTGAAAGTGGAAATATTCAAATCAAGAAATGGTACATAACAGTGAATACATTTAAAAACATTTCCAACAAGTGCAACATACAGACACAGCAGTTTTTACTCTGACTTCCTTATATTGGTAAAAAAAAGAAAAGAAAATCTGTGCAAGCTGCACATTTGAAATGTCAATAATAGCATAAGTTTACATTCACCTTCTTTTAAAGCTTATTTTATTGCAGCGCCAAAGTCTGCATACTTTTTGTACTTTCTGTTTTGGGCCAAGTTCAGTGATAAAATCGCAATGTTCTCTGTTGGGTTTAAGTGGAACAAAATGTTGTACTTGTTACACTAACCACTGCCAAATAAGACAAGACACCCTGTATAATTACACTGTACACAGTCTGTCACACAGAACAGCCAGAATTGAGTAATTTAGATATCATTCAATTTGAAAGGCAAATAAGGCGCTCGCAATCTTAAGACATGAGACTTAAGCTCAAAAAGCTGTTTTTTGGATACCCTGAGGACATTTTGCAACATTTTACGTGTTTCAGAAGAGAGCTGACGCCTTGGGGGGGGGGGACGACACCTCATGGAACACAACATAAGCATGAAAGCCATGGCAGTGACGGCCCACCAGTTCCCAGATCACAGCCCCCTCCTGCCGTGTTTATACAACACTGAGAACTGAGCCATCATCTTTTTTTTTTTGTTTTTTGGAGAGGCAGCAGAGAGCCTCATCTCAGGAGAGGTATCTGAATCTGCAGTGCATTGGTACCAATCAAATGTTAAGGTCAAGGAGGTTGGAGAGGGCTGCATGTGTGGAGAGCCTCTTTAATTTTATTAGCGGAGAAGGTGACGTCTCTGTAGGGAAATGAGAGGGATGACAGCTGTGGCACAGCCCTGGCTGGACACTT